ACTCCTCCTGTTGCTGGGATAAAATTCACCGACAGAAGTTCAAGGGTATGGTCCATCATGGCACGGAAGTCCTGGCGGCAGGAGCTTGAGGCAGCTGGTTGTTTGCATCTGCAGTCAGGAAGCAGCGTGATGAATGCTGGTGCTCAGCTAGTTTCTCCTTTTCATGCAGCCCAGGACGAGAGCCCACAGTTAGAGTGTGTCTTCCCGCTTCAGTTAACCCAATCAAGGTAATCCCTCACTAGGTTTACCACAAGGATTACAAGCGCCTGGGGCTTGTTTCCCAGGTGATTCTAGATCCCAGCAAGTTGACAATCAGCACTAACCAGCACCATGATCTTCCTTTGAGTGTGTTCTCTAGTGTGAAGTGTGACCCACGGCATGAATGGTAGTATGTCTCCATGCTGAGCCATGGGTTGATGGCAGACAAGTCTTCACCGTATTCCAGTGGTGCCCAGTACTAACTCAAATGCATGTCAGTGGTAGGAACTGGGACCAAGTTTGCTTACCAACCTGTGGTTGAACCTCTGGTTGACAGCAGTTACCACCCTACCTCAATAGCATACACTAAATTTTAAAATATTACTTATTTTTACTTATTTTTCCTTTTTTTGGTCTTTTTTTGAGACAGCATCTCCCTGTAGCCCCAGCTGACCTGGAATTCTGCCCCAAATTCCTCATCCTCCCAGGGCTTGAGATTCCTTCTCCCCTCCCTGATACATGGGCTCAGGAACATAGCTGACTATAATTTTCCAACCCTAAGATAAACTCCAAGCACCTAGGCTAGCAGGTACCAGCTGCTAGAAGAGACAGGGGCTGGGTGCCTCCTGCTTGGTTGGAGTCTGGTAAACTTAGGTCTATCTGAGGCGCCTCTGGTGTTGGAAGCAAGACATTTCTATTTTATTTCTCAGAGTGATTTAGTGTGTTTTCATCATGAATGTAACAGTTCTGCATGCCATTGGTTTTGCTTTCTATTTTTGTTGCCTCTATAAAGTCTGAATTTTCTCTTTCCGGGGGATTCATATTTTTACGCTAGTGTTGCCTTGAAACTTTAAAATATTTTTTATTATTGTGTATGGTGTGTGTGTGTGTGTGTGTATGTGTGTGTGTATGTGTATGTGTGTGTGTTTGTGTGTGAGTGGGAATATGAGGGACTACAGCACAGGTCAGAGGATGACTTTGGGGATTCTGTAGGTTCTGGGGATGGAACTCCAGTCATCAGACCTGCTAAACTATCTTGCTGGCTCTCCATTGAAACTTCCTGCACTGTGTCTAACCCTTTCTTCAGCTTCATCCCTGTGAATATGAGAGATGATGGTCTGTTTATCACGCTTTCAGTTTAGTTATTTCTTTTTACATTAACTTGTGTGTTTTTGTTTTAGTTCTTTTACTTGATTTTTATAGTTTTAGGTTATGCGTGGACCCATGCTCCTTTCCATGAGAAAAGGACCGTGCTCCTACCGCGCCCACTGTCTCTCCCCTTTCTTCTGTCCCCTCTGCTTTGACTTGCTTGTGAGCAGCAGCATTCTCCCCACCTTTATTGGTTTTGGTTGTGGTTAAGTGGCTTCAGTGCTCATAGCAGCCCCTTGGCTAGACTTTCTTTCTGCATCTCCTTTTGGCTCAAATTAAAAGCAGTTTCTGTTCTGAAAGACTTTTATTTAAATTTTTAAATCAAAATCTGTATGTGGCTACTCTCTGATTCCATTTATGTGTAATTCTAAAGTAGGCAAATTCATGAAGACGGCAGGTAGATTCGAGGTGGCCAGAGGCTGGGGGTGGGGCAGTGGGGAGCGACTGCCAGTGGGATGAGGTTTCCTTTTGTGTTGATGAAAATGATCTGGAATTGGGCTGTGGCAATGTAGCACAACTTTATGAATGCCCCATCAACTAATGAATTGTACACTGGAAACAGGTAAATTGGACAGTTTAGGAATTGCATCTGAAGCAGTAGAAGGAGATTAATCTCAAGGCTTGGAAATGGACTACCCATAATACTCCCTGTCCCTTCCCACTTCTGCACTTGTCCCTCCCCAGACATAGCAACAGTCAACTGTTTGGGACAGTTCTTTTAGGCTTCACCTTCCTACTTTACCTTCCTGTTTTACTTTTTGTAAACCATCAAAAGACAGATAAATGGTTGTTCACTTTTTATGGTATTAAAATTAGTTAGCCTATGTAAGGTCTATCAGTCTTTTATCAGATGATTTTAGTGATAATATATGACCATTGCCTAAAGGTTATAAAGGATGACAAAATCTGATTGTTTATGCATTTTTGCTTTTAATTTTGTAAAGAACTTTAACAAGCAATTACTCTCTTGCATGTGGGAGAAGCCTAGTGTTCTGGTATGCTTTTCTGCCACTCTGATAAACACGATGACCAAAGCAGGAATTGAGCAGAGACCATGGAGGAATGTTGCTTATTGCTCTCTCGCTGGCTCCTGCTCAGCTAGCTTTCTTATCCAGTCCAGACCTACCTATGTAGGGATGTACCGCCCTTAGTGCACTGGACCCTCCTACATCAACTAGCAATCTTGAAAACGCCCTGCAGATAAGCCCACAGGCACTCTGATTGAGGTAGTACCTCAGTTGAGCGTCCCTCTTCCCAGGTGACTCCAGTCTGTGTCAAGTTGACAATAAAAACTAACCAGTATAATTAAGTATTTAATTTTCCCTTTCCTGTTCCTTTTTGATTTTTTTTTTTTTTTTTTGACAGTGCTGGAGACCACCCTGCAGACCTTGTGTGATTGCAGTCTATACTAGTACAGTTGACTGTGGACATTAGTCCTTTCTTCTGCAACCCTGATAAGCTTACTAGTTTTAGCAGCCTTTTTGGAGATTTCCTTAGGACTCTGGGAGTATGTGACTGAAGAAGTTTAAGCCCCTTATTTTGTCTTAAGTAGCTAGAAACCCTAGCAGACACTGAATAGAGAAGGTAAGAATAGCTTGTTCAAGCTTAGGGCCAAAGGCCCTGAGTCTTTCTTAGGTCAGATATTAGCTGTGAAGTTTACTTAGATGAGCTTTATCAGGCTGTAGAAATTCTGTTCTGTTCCTTTTGTTTTTGAGACAAAGGATCTGCGTGTCTCTGCCTCCCATTGCTGGAGTTACAGGCACCCACAACATATCCATCCTTTTTACATGAAACTCAGGTCCTCATACTTAGAAAGCAAGCCTCTTACCTACTGAGCCATCATCTCTCCAGCTCTCAGGACTGTTTATTCTACACTGTGGAGATACAGGACAGAACCTTTCTGAGTACGTGCCGCTGGGTTTGTGTATGTGAGGTTTTTTTCTGATCTTGTTTTTCAGTAGGCAGACTTCTGGGATCTGGGTGGATACTGATCATACTTCCGCTTTTCCTTCCAGTTCTTTCTCTGTACAGGCTGTTGCTGCTCCTGCCCACCATTCCCTGTTCCCTTGGGGTCACTGTTTGGAGTTACCAGTTGAACAGTATCTGAAAACTGTTATTTCCTATGTTTTGTCAGTTTTTTAAGGGCCAGATTTCTGTCACTGAGTGTGGGCTGCAGTCTTCAGTCAGTCACATTCAGCAGGGAGAGGTAGCCTCAGGAAATGAAGCTTATACTGCTCAAGAGAGTCCATGAATCTTCCACTGGCGACTTTGTTCCAGGGGCCTTTCCTTGAGGACATTACTTTTGGTTACTGAGAAGCTTCCCAGTCTCTGCATCTCTTTTTCTTTCTAGTGGTAAATAAAGCTGTTGTACGGACACTTACAGGGACAGAGACAGTCAGGCTGCTAACAGGCAGCTGATTTCTTGCTGCAGAAGTTTAGAGTATGTGTCACTGCTTAGAACTCTGAAGTGAAACAGCTTATAGGTTAAGCCCTCACTGGATTCCTGGTTAGTGTTTACCTTGAAACTCCCAGATTGAGTTCCATTGCAACTGTTGACTTGTCAAACTATAGGAGTCCTGCAGTGAGTACTGTATAACATGCTTGGATTTACACACTGCTAATCCTCTGTGTGATTCTCAGTGAGCTCCTTTCTTTTTCTTTTGTGTTCTTACTCTTGACTTCATAGCTGGTATCACATATAGAAAAACTATCAGTCTTTCAGCTATACTGGTTGTATTTTTAACTATCAGTCTGTAAGACATACTGGCGGTATTTTTCTTTCTCCAAATCAGATGTTTGTATGACTTGAAAGAAAGCAAATGGGGGTATCCAATTTGCTTTTTGTTGTTGTTGTTGTTTTAAAGACAGGATCTCCCTGTAGCTCAAGCTGTCCTGGAACTTGCTGTGTAGACCAGGGTAACTCCATCTCACAGAGATCTACCTGCCTCTGTCTCCTGAGTGCTGGGATTGAAAGTGTGTACCACTATGCCTTGTTACCTGTTTTTGATTTTTGAGATAGGCTCTCAACGTGTGTAGCCCAGGCTGGCTGAAACTCTTGATCTTCCTGTTTTAGCCCTATGAGAGCTGGGATCGCAGATGTGTGCTGCCACACCTGGCCCAAAATAATCTTTTCAAAGGCTTTGAGTACTGCCACACTGCTTTGGGGGTGAGCTAGCCGCCTTCATCAGTTGTAAGAGCAGAGAACTCTGTAGGAACATCTTTTCTTTTAGGAGGTAATTTTTCTTGCTAAGTATGCCGTAAGAACTTGAAGAATGATCTTAATTTCTCATTTTAAAATGACTGCCAGCTGAGCCAGACTGTTTAACACGTCAAAGTTAGAGCACATGGATTTGTCAATAAATTTAAATGTGCTAGTAGTTGCCATTACTACTAAGTTGTTTGAGTAATATATTATATTCACATTTTAAATGGATATTGATCTTCATTCAGTGACGAAATTGGAGCATCTCAATTCTTATGAAACTGCTGACTCTTTTCCACTTTGTAGGCATACAGCCAGACATAAATTCTAGCCAACGTTCCATAGATTTTTTCCTTATTTTTCTTCTGTATGCAGTACTCTTTAAGAAGTAAGAATAATTTGTGAATAAACAAAGTTAAAACATACTACCACATATTTTATTGTCTTGAAGGTACCTGAGGTTTATTGAATTGCCCTTGACTCAGAGAAAATTCTGTCGAAGTTGTCAGCAGTTGCTTCTACCTGAGGACTTGGGGGGACATGGTGGCCATCAGCTGTTGGCTGATATTTCCATCACCCAACTGAGAAGGCCCAGTCAGCTTCTCTACCCACTGGAAAACAAGAAGACAAATGCCCAGTACCTTTTTGCTGATAGGAGCTGCCAGTTCTTAGCAGACCTCCTTTCTATCCTTGGATTCAGAAGAGTACTATGTGTTGGAACACCAAGGTATGTTCTGTATTTAAAAAAAAAAAAAACTCCTGTCAACACTGCTTTATGCATAAGAAAGTTGTCATGAAGCAACTATTTACGGTGTGCAGAGTAAGGTGTGGAACTCTGCATGTAAGAGCAAGTAGAAAAGCATGGTCCCTCTCTTAAGGAGTTTGCAGCCCGTATTCCATTTGAGAAAAACCTTCATAAACTCCTTCCTGGTATATGGAAGATGCTTTATGGTAATGTTAGATTTCTCTGTTAAGTTCTGCCCTTTAAAAAGTATTTATAAAACTAAAATCTGCCAAATACTCTTCCGTGTTTCATTGAAATATCAGAGATATGAGAACATCAGTGGGTTTTGTTTGCCGATTGCCTGTGACATTTGTAGTTTATTAAATTTGCTCTCATTACCTGCTTTAGGTTGCACGAGCTGATCAGGCTGACAGTGGCAGGTGAGAAGGCCAACATGAAAAGCCTTTTATTGGATATTGATTTTCGGTAGGTTTATAAAATGTAATATTTCTTCTTTATTACCTCATTTCTTTTTATGTTTTCTCTTCTTAATTGGTTGTCATCTGTCATCCTTTTTAATTAACATTTAGAGGTAGTTGTAGGTTATGAACACCTTATCAATCATGTAAATTCAACATAGAGTCTTTGGGATTTCACACAGGGAAGCAGTTGATTTCTCATTTTAATAGTGTGGTCCTAGATCTCCTCAGTGACTGTGTCTACTTCTATGTGACATAAAATTGGAGATGAATTCCTACTGAATGCGGTTTTTTCTTATTACTGATGTTTAAAGGTAAACTGTATCCCCCTCCCCTTATTCTTGGTCAGATTTCCAGGACTTCATTTCATCTTTAGATCTTTGTCATGTGATAAGACATTTAAAAAATAGCATCTTATGGGGCTGGAGAGATGGCTCAGTGGTTAAGAGCACTGACTGCTCTTGCAGAGGACCCAGGTTCGATTCTCAGCACCCACATGGCAGCTAACAACCATCCATTAACTCCAGTTCCAGGGGATCTAATGCCCTCTTCTGACCTACATGAACATTTCATGACATGGGTGCACTTACGTACATGCAGGCAATACTCATACACATAAAATAAAAATAAAGTATTATGTGCACACTACCTCCCTAGGTGCAGCCAGAAATGGAGGGGGTGCTAACTAGGGAATAGGCAGGTCCCAGGCTGAGGGCTAGAAAGTAGGTACTTGTGGGAGATAACCATGTGTAAGAATTGTTTGATGTTGGGATGCACCTTTAGTGGTAATTTAGAGAATACAGGCTGGCTTTCAGCACAGATGACACAAATGTCCACCCACTGTCTAAGTGTGAAAAGTCAAAGGACTCCTCTTAATTTAATACTGGTTTAAGTTCTGCCTCATAGTGAATTTATTAGACACTTATTCTTAGACACTTTTACATGTTCTTGACTGTCTTAAAGAAATTAGGCTCTATGTTTCTTTTTATTTAGATAATGTTTATTTGGCCAATTCTACAGTATTTGTTAGAATATGTGACATTAAATATGCTTACTTTCCCTAATAGGGCAGATTTTTAAGAGGTAAAATGTCACATTAAAAAGCACAGCTTTAGCTGGGTGTGGTGGCATATGCCTTTTAATCCTAGCACTTGGGAGGTGGAGGCAGGCAGATCTCTGTGAATTCGAGGCCAGCCTGGTCTACATAGCGAGTGCCAGGCCACCTGGGGCTACAGGGAAACCCTGTCTCAAAAAGACCAAAAAGAAGCCGGGCATGGTGGTGTATGCCTTTAATCCCAGCACTCGGGAGGCAGAGGCAGGCGGATCTCTGTGAGTTCAAGGCCAGTCTGGTCTACATAGTGAGTTCCAGGACAGCTGGAGCTACAGGGAGACCCTATCTCAAAAAGACCAAAAAAATAAAAAATAAAAAAGAAAGAAAGCAGGCTGGTTGTCTCTGCCTCAGCTCCTGCTTCCAGGTTCCTGCCCTGAGTTCCTGTCCTGGCTTACCTCAAGGATGAACTGTGATTGCAATGTGTAAGTCAAATAGGCTGAACATTGGTTCTGGAGACGATAACTAGCAAGCCCTCAGGATCCTTCTCAGCCTGCTTTCTTATACAACTCAGGACCACCTGCCCAGGGTTTCACTGCACTTACCAATCAGGAAATTGCCTCACAGACATGCCCTCAAGAGTAATAGAGGAAATCCCCAGTTAAGGTTGCCTCTTACTGATGTATCAAGTTGACAACCCAAACTATCAAGCGCACTAGCCTCACTGAAAAGGGGAGCTCCAGATGTAGGCTGGGCATGGTGAGTCTGTAATCCTAGTAAGCAGGAAGCAGAGGCAGGTGGATCTCTGTGAGATCAAGGCCAGCCTGATCCATTTAGTGAGTTCCAGGTGGGCAGGGATCAGGGAGACCCTGTCAAAAAACAAACAAACAAAAAAACCCCACAAAACAGATTCAGGGAAGGACCCTATCTCAAGCAATAAAATAGAGAAATGATTGAGGAAGACACCCACTGTCAAGCTTTGACATCCACACATCCCCTTGCTTCCCCACCCGCCAGGTACAGCTTTTTTGTTTGTTTTGGTTTTGTTTTTTTGAGACAGGATCTCGGTATGTATCCCTAGCTGGCCTGGAACTTGTTATGTAAACCAGGATCTCACAAAGATCTACCTGCCAAGTGAAAAAGTATAGCTTTTATAATTTATTTTTCTTTATATTTCCAGTCAACTTTATATTGTCTGATACAAACAACTAGTTTTCCTAAGTTCCTCACTGTACTTCCTCAACCGTTATGGAAAGGACTGACTTGTTAACTGTTAACCACTCACTTCTTGTTGATAAGAAGTGGCCAATTAACGTGTTTGACCGCAGTGATCTTTCCAAAGTGATAATACAGATTTCTTAAAGAGAACTCAGCTGTATTTTTAAATATTTTGTTATTTTTATTTTATATATATGAGTGTATTGCCTGCATGTAAGTGAGTGCACCCATGTCGTGCAGTGCCACAGAGGTCAGAAGAGGGATTCCCCTGGAACTGAAGTTAAGGATGGTTCGTAGCCACCATGTGGGTGCTGAGAATTGAACCCAGGTCCTCTGCAAGAGCAGCCAGTGCTTTTAACCACTGAGCCATCTCTCCAGCCCTGTCAACTGTACTTTTAAAAAAGATTTATTGCTGGGCGTGGTGGCGCATGCCTTTAATCCCAGTACTCAGGAGGCAGAGGCAGGTAGATCTCTGTGAGTTCAAGGCCAACCTGCTCTACATCCTGAGTTCCAGGACAGCTGGGACTACAGGGAGACCCTGTCTCAAAAAGACCAAAAAAAAAAAAAGATTATTTTTAATTATGTGTATATGTGATGTGTGTATGTGTGTGGGTATGTGCATGTTGAGTGCAGGTGTCCTTGGAGTCCAGAAGACGGCTTTGGGTTCCCTGGAGTCACAGATGGTTGTAAGCCACCTGATATGGGTGCTGAGAACTGAACTTGGGTCCTCTGCAAGTGCAGTCTGTGCTCTTAACTGCTGAGCCATGTCTTCAGCCCTCAACTGTATTTATTAAATGAGTTATAGTTCATATTATTCACCACTTTGGGGTATATACCTCACTAGTTTTTGGTGTCTATTCAGTATGTTGTACAACCACACCACTATCTATTGTCAGAACATTTTTTCTGTTTCTTTGATAATTTTGAGTTTTTTGAGGTAGGTCTTATTTTTTTGAGTGTGGGTCTCATATATCCCAGGCTGGCCTTAAACTCACTGTGTAGCCAAGGTTGGCCTTAAACTTCAATCCTCCTGCCTCTACTTCCTGAGTGCTTGGACAGCAGGTGTGCACCACTGCATTTGGCTCAGAATAGTCCCATCACACAGAATAGAAACCTCATTGTCACTGCCCCTGACAGCTACTTTCTGTCTTCATGAATTTGCCTATTCTAGACTCTTTTTTTTTTTCATCTTTTTTGAGTCAGGGTCGCCCTGTAGCCACAGTTGGCCTGGATTCGCTATGGAGACCAGGCTGGCCTTGAACTCACAGAGATCTGCCTACCTCTGCCTCCGGAGTGCTGGGATTAAAGGCCTGTACCACCACGCTCGGCTATTCTAGACATTTTATAGTAGAATCACTCAGTATATGACCTTTGTGTCTGGCTTCTTTCAGTTAGCATAATGAATGTACATATAGTATACAACAGTACTTTATTCTTTTTATGGGTCTTTAATATTTCAGTGTCTGGAATTTCTTATTAATTCATTCATTTATTGATTGATTGATTGACTGATTGATCTTTTTGAGACAGGATCTCCCTGTAGTCCCTGCTGGCCTGGAACTCGCTATGTAGACCAGGCTGGCCTTAAACTCACAGAGATCCCTCTGCCTCTGCCTCCAGAGTGCTGGGATTAAAGGCATGCATCACCACACCCAGTGGAATTTCTTTTTTAAAATTCTGTGTTCCTTTCCTAAGGTATTATTGTCAATACAAGTGCATTATTTTATGTGTTAAAGTTTAACTTTGTAGTTCTTACCACCACATCAGTAGGTAGTTTTTGAGTTCTTGTCATGTGTCAGGGCCTGTCATACCTTATAATAGCTCTCCAAGATAGGTTTGTTATCATTCTCATTTTCTGGAAGAGAACACTGAGGTACTAAGAAGTGAAATAACTTAACCATAGTCATAGTTTGTGAGTCACCAAGCCAGAATTTAAAATCAAGGCAGTCTTAATTCCCAATGAACTGATTTCCTCTTGAACGTGTATGTACACCTTTCTTAGTTGGCCTCTTTCTCTCACCCTTCCCTCTCTCCGTTCCTCCCTCTATCTTGTCCCACAAAGGTTTTTTTTTTTTTTTTTTTTTTTTTTTTTTTTTTTTTTTTTAAAAAAAAAAAAAAAAGAGGACGATAAATCTTTCACTGTGATATATCAAAATAACTCCCAAGTGCTGGGACTAAAGGGGTGCACCACTATGCCCAGCCCCACAAAGGGTTTTGAGTAAATAGCTTTTGGTTGGAAATATTCATTTGTGTCACAGAAATCTGTTCACTGTTCGTATGAAAGAATTTGTTGCTTCCAGTTACTGGAGTCTAGGATACAGCCAGCTTTGGTCCAGTCATTGCCCTGGGCCTCATACCATGTTGTTAAACACCTTTCTCTCTGCCTGTTGCCTTTTTTAAATCAGATGGCATCTTTTGGCTTTCTTCATATTGCTGGGGCACTTTGGTGGCAGTCCCAGCTCACCTGACGGTGGAGACAGGCAGTAAAACTCAAGGGAGTTAGTTCTCTTATCTGCATGGCAGAGTCACATGCCAGTTCCCACTCTAGAGCCATCACTGTAGTTAGCTCTTGGCCAACCAGGTAGAGTAAGTTCTCTGCAGAAATGAGATGTGTGACTAAGGAGGGGAGCTAGGAGTGCTAAAGAGAAAAAAAGCTGATGCTGGTAACTAAATAATTGAGGACAAAAGAATACTCAGATTCCTACCTTTGTCCTTTGTTTTTGCTCAGGTGGAAATGGTAC